GATACAAAAAATATATTCATTATTTTTATAAATATTTCATAAATATTTTATAAATATTATATTTTATAAATCTTTATCTTTTTTAAATAAAAGTTTTTCGAATATATCATCTAATAAACGGTTTCTACATGGAATTAATGTTTATTATCCGCAACTAAAAAGACGTTCTACTGGCGCTGATGATGGCAATGATGTATTAAATTTTAAAAAAATTTGTTTGTCAAAACATCCTTGTTGAAAACAGACGATAGCTCTCGTTATCCCGGCCCTTCGTTTGATCTCTTGAAAAACGACACAAACGCACAGAGCGGGCATAAATAGAAGACCGACATCGCGGTGAACTATGCGCGACTACATCAGACTACCGGTTGCTTTACGAAAAGTTGTAAAATTAATAAAGACTGCCGAGATAAGTTCCTCCGAGAATCGATCGTACATTTCGATGATGTTGGGATAAAAAAAGCATTGCTTAATAATTATTCTCACAGAATTTACGGCTTCTGTCGGAAGTCGCATGGAATATCAGGCGATGAAATCATATAATCTAATCAATTGTCTTATAAGAAATTATAAATCTTTTTGCATCTCGCAATGAAATATCATTATTTTTTGTTATATAAAAATAGAATCCAATATCAAGGATATTACATTATAAAATATCTTATACGTTGCGTTATTTTCAACCGTATATGTTTAATCTAACGATAAAAGAGAATATGGAATAAAATCGCAATTCAGAGTGTGATATGATTTATTTTTCATGACATGATGTTTCTTCTCTCTCCGTTTCGTGTGATGAATTTATTTTTATATCATCTATGACACTCTCTCCCACAGATCGAGTTATTTAGAAAATCGCCATCCTCGATTATTAAACTAATAATTGAATTGGACGATTCGAGACTCGCCGCTATTTATGTTCCCGTTTCAATCGGTGGACTTCCGCTGTGGGATAATACGATTAACCGCGTTAGCCATTATCGGAGCAATTACCGATGGATATTACAAACTGTCTGTTTTGATAACAATTGATATGGAGAATTTGAGGATAACTTCACTTATGGCTCACAAGCAAAGCAAAAGGAAGAATGCGAGTACCTACAGATAACAAACCACCATATCTTTCAGTTTCTTCAACAAAAAAGATGTAAAGTTACTCTCAATGGCGAAAAAATATCTTTTCTCGAAACGATGAATGGATATCATCCTATTCCATAAAATTAGACTAATTAAGTGTGCTTTTAAATATTAAAAATGTACCTTGTTCTGCTAATGTTTTTACGAAAAAAAAAAAGATTCATTGTAAATCGTTCAACAATTCATATTACGATATTGTATAATCATAGGTTGCAACACTTTTCTTAGATGAATTTCGAAATGCAGCCTTCTCATCGAATAATCGGTTCTTACTTTTGAATCCATTTACGATCAATTATTTACTCTACGAGTAAAGTTGAATTCTGAAACTTATCAAGAAAAAGTGTCGCAACCACGTTGTGTCCACGTTGTGTGCAATTGATACAAAGAATACTAAAATGTTCAAGCCAAAGTGCATTTCCTTGTATATAAATATATCTGCGTATTCGAATCGATAAATTGAAATTAAATACATAACGTAAAAAATTAGAGGAGCATTTTAAAACCTGCAAATTTTGTCGGTTTTAAGAAACTAATAGCTCGGCTTCCAGGACAATCACAGAACATTGTTCATTAGCGTGTTTTAAAAAGTAAAGCCTCTATTAAAAAATAACTTAAGTTATATATATATATTTTTAGATATTAATTTTAAAGCATCGATTGTTAAGGATAATTGTTAGAACTCTTCGGGAGGCTACTAGAACTCGTATCAGATTGCCGAATTTCCATTAAAAAAAAAAATTTTTTTGAAGTTTTTGAAATTCATTATTTTCTTGAGAGATAGCCCCCCAAAGAGTTCTATCGATTCTCCTCTATA